TAATTAAAAGGCTGTTGCATGAGACTTTGCAATAATGGTTCTGTGCATGTTGAAATTCAGTAGTACTAAACTCAAGCTGACAGGGCCCAGAGCAACCAAAGCCCTGCAGGAGACTGAAGTAGACAATCTCCACACACCCCTTCCAATCTAAATTCTTCTGTGATTACAATTTAAATTGTGTTTCTGTGCAATATGTTCCTAACTAAGAATATATGCTGAAGCCAAGTTTGCTGATGGCCGTTTTTAGAGTGGATTATAAAACACAATTGAGAAACCAGAAAAAGATTTAATTACATTAGCAAACTGGACATCATGATGGCAAAATAAATTCAGCACAAACCAGCATAAGATATTGCATGCCGTATTAGACTAATGGATTCAGACATTAAGCCAGTGGGAAAATATAATATGTGGCCTTTCATGGAAAAGGTCTCTGCCATTGTGAGGAAGATGACACACACCTGCTCCATGCTCTACTGTGATCAAGAAACAAACTACACACAAAGAAATATTCAGTGGATGGCAGGAAATGTTCAGTGTTGACATGAGACAGCTGTAGCAATAATGAACATATTTTCTTTCAGTATTTATTCTATCATCTCATGATGAAATAAAAGAGAATTAAACTCATCACAGCAATGATGAGAAAAGCAGTTGCCACATAATAAGAAATTAAGCCTGATAATTAGTCAGACAAGTAGTTTCAAAGTAATATAACTGAGGTATATACACACATGCAATAGAGGTAGACAACTTCAACTTTCAAGTTTTTTCTTTTAATAAAGAATGGTTAGCATAAATTCATTGACACATATATTAGTCAACTATTTTTAAAATACCAGTTTTTTTGAAATAAGAAAAGCATTTGTAGGAGAGCTTTCTATGGGAAAAAATACCAATAAATGCTCTCACCTTTTAGCATAAGCTGAATAACATAAAAGTGGCAAATATTTTATGTAATTTGTAGGTATATTATGAAACATTATATTAATGTTCTGATTCTCCTGATTATTTTTAATACAGGAGAAGAGAGATTAGACAGGATATGCTACTAGAAAACCTAATGAAATTGTGCGCCACACTGACAATCAGTTTTTGAGGTTTTTAAAGGCTTAGTTATAGCAAATAAACCATGCACTTTATCACATTGCTGACAAACTTTCACTTAATACATGATGTCTCTAATTTGGCTGAGTAATTTGGTGCAGTAATTTGGCTGTACAATTCTATTAATATTATCTTGGATATGGAATGACTTTGCATTTAAACCAATGCTATTTGACATGCTAGATAAACATTCCACGTCTGGTACAGTAAAGACTGTGTAATACTATCTTTTAAAAAGTGCTTATTTACCTATATAGCTATGGGGTCATCCATTACTATGAACAAAGTTCCAAGAACAAAATAGCAACTGCTCAAATTAACCACTATCGCTGTTAAGCAGCGTATCTCTTCTGAGGCAGTAAGCGGTTACACTCCCTCGTGCATGCAGAACTTCCATTCACGTCAGCGAGGGAACAGGCACACCAAGACAGAATCCAGCCATTTGTGATAACAGTGGCTCCTTTTAAAACATCCTCCACTGGTCTCTGCCTGCTAGCTTTACAAACACCTCTCAATTTCATCAGATTTAGAGTCCAACCAAAGTTTCAGCTTCAAGAGCCAGACTGCAATGTTAACTACGCTGCCCCAGTGTCCTGCTTCATTGCATTGTCATCTAGAAAATCCAGTGCTCCCAAATAACCAGCAATTTTGAAGGTTGTACACAATAAATTAAAAGAAAAAAAAAAAAGGAGGGGAGGTGGGGTAGGGAGACAGAGGAGGTGACCCAGTCTCAACTGCGGAGATTACTGTGAATAGGTCAATAGCATCAAATTCAGCGCAGCCATGCCACAGTATCACTGATGATGATGATGTAATGAATGAACAGGCTTCACCAATAACTCTCATGAAATTCACAGGAAAAATAAAAATTGAGGTGGTTTTGGTATTATATGTTTTCTAAGTAAAGCAACAGTCTCAGGGAAAACAGCAAATACATACTGTAGCAACAGAACTGCCTTATGAATACAGACAATTTACTCAGTTTCTTACGACCAGTAACCCATTGTTTCCAACCTCCCTCAAGACAAAACAACTTGCCACATACCACAGTAACAACAGAACTGGCCAAGAGGTAGACTATTTTCACAGGTTTGTGAAACTAGTTTTCTAAGAGAAACTTACTATTCTCAAAAGTAACACTCTGGAAATTGCACTGGGATTTCCATATCAAGTGTGCCTAATGTATTCCTGCCCTCCAAACCTAAACCAAGTCCAGCCAGCAAGGCAGCCTCCTCCTCTATTTCATACTTCATCAGTAACATACGCTTCCCATATCTGGAGACAAATTCTCATCTCACTGACACCAGCATCTCAACAGCAGGTGCCTTTTCAGCAATAGAACTATAATTGCTGTTGTTCATACAGTGGTATAAACATCTAAGCTCTTAAAAAATTAAAATAAAAAATTACAGCATAGCTAACATAGTTATGCCAATAAAACTTTTCTAGTCGCAACAAGGTTAATTCTTAATTTAAAAATAATAAGAGAGATCCTAATTTGTTCTCTTGTTATGTTCTTAGATTAGCACTGGCACAAATCTGACATCATTTGGTACGCTATCCTGAAGGCAACAAAACTGCACTGAAATTTCTGTCTGGAACTCAGTAAACAGCATCATTTCTGATAATCAAAAAACAATGTAATTTACCCCTTCAACTGTTCTGGTTTTGCAGTCTCAGTAACATTTTTAAATAATAAGAAGTATTTCACCCATAGAATCAGCAATTATAATTGAGTATGATGAATAATAGCGCAATTTCAACATGGCTACTTTTCAGGGTAGAATCACACTAGAACAGATAACCTACACAATAAGCAATGAGACCCCTGAAAACAACAAAACAAACCAACCAACCCATTGTTCAAAACACTTGGCTAAGTTTATTCCCAAATAGAAACTCTCGTGCCTCAACATGCATAAGAATATAATTATCATGACATACACCAAGGTACATTTTGGGAGAGCTGCTGAGGGAAATACGCTATGAAGTCAAACCCATGTAACCAAGTTGGGGGAAAGTTACAAAAACTTCAAAAAGTGAAAAAGCTCCCCATTGTTTTCAGTCCTAGTGGTTACAAATACAAGGGAGCAAAAGCATTGCCCGATGCAAATACCACCATTATATCATGTTGCACCTCAGCCCTGACCTGCAGCAATGCTGCCGCTCCAAGTTCCCGTGCCTCTGCATTACGACTTCTCATGACACGGGAGGAGGTTAAACTAGAGGTACGGGTTTACAAGAAGGACAAACATCCATGCAAGACAAGGCTGACACCACCACTCCCATTTTCAGTGACCGACTCCATTTGCCCAAGAGGAAAGAGTAACGTGTTAATTTGTCAACCCTTCAGGTCCCATTTGTTCTGCTCACACAGGGCAACCGACAGCAGTAAACCCATTTGCAGAGGCATGCTCAGGAACAGCTCCGTGAGCGCCGGCTGGTGCCTAGCACTGTGTAAGGATATGCAGCTGCACTTACTCACCACACACAGGGCCGGGCGGGGAGATCCTGCACAGAACCATAACAATGTTTGGGAAGAACTGAGGATACGCTCCTGGGAAAAAACATAGCTCTCACTGCTCTCCTTAGCTCCTTGGCTGATTTTTGTTTGGTTGGGGGTTTTTTGTGCACTGAAGAGTGATCAATTGTTGAAATGTTAAAGCTGATAAATCTGAGTTCCTCGTGCCTTTCATATGCATTTTATCTACATTCAAGTAAATATCAGTAATGACGTTACAGCAAGTGCACCAGGGAGAGCACAGGGACAGAAAGAGGGAAAGCACTCAGCTTTCTGCGCACACACAAATAAACACCTCTTCCCATCCCTCACTATGCTACCCAGAAATTTTTGCCAAAACACATGCCATTTTTGTCTTCAACAAAAATCAGCAAGATGGGAACCCTAGTCAACACGGCCTCACAATATCTGTCCAGCCCAGGTTCTCCTCCCTTATGTTTTTATTTAAGTCACTAGCACTCATCATAATAAGGTTTTTAAAATACATATATGAGCAAGTTTCACTCATCCCAGTTCGTAATAGCCTTTTTTCTGAATCCACACACCTTTACAACCACATCCTAAACAATCTTTATTAATGCTGTCGCTCTGTTTTCACTGGGAGTATCTCACTCCCCCCCCACTTTTTTTTTTACCGTAAAGCAAGCATCACACTGTCATGTGATTCCCTTGTTCACATGTTTTAAATTTAATCAGAATACCTGAGGTGTCAATAATCATCCTCGTCTTGCTGACAAGAATCAGAAATGGAAATAGAGCTCATGCTGCATAACAATAATGTAATCTGCGGTGCTGCATCTGAACAACTTTTCAAGAAGTTTAAAGCAACCTCCTCTTTTAGTTGAAAATATATAAAGGAAATCAGCCTTTTGAAACTAAATTTAAGAAGCCAAGCAAACTTGATCCAAATACCAAACAATAAATTAGTTAAAAGCCACTAGGAAAGATGCCAGCATCCCTCTCAAATCATCAGCATCACCTTTCAAAAAAATCTATTTCAATTAATCAAAATTAAAATGGGAGGGGAAAAAATGTCACTATTTTGTTAGATATTTATTGCTAAAATAATTAATATTTCCCCTGGTTGCTTAAGATAGTATTACTAAAACAGCCTTAGCAGCAAAGCTGGAAAGTAATACATAGTCTAGAGTGCCCTCTTTCTTTTCCAAGAAGAGTTTCAGGGAAATATTCTGTTCACAAAGATGTCAGTCAGTTGTTTCTCAGAAAGTCAAATAAAATAGATAATTAGGCTGTAGATAACTATTTACATAAATATTAAAAAAATGTAAACATGAAAGCAGTTCAGCATAATTTAAGTTACATTCATCACCAGTATAAGGATATGATTCTACCTCAATAAAAATATACTTACAGAGCCATCTGAAATTGTTCCAGCCATTTTTTCTTCAAGTCTTTAGTTTTGCAATAAACTTCTATACCGTTTTGACCTTGGATATGAATGAGGTAGAAGCCATAAGACCACTGTATAAAAAGATTGGCAATACAAAGGTCATCAGTTACAGAGAAAGGAAAAGAAAAAAAAGAAAAAAGAAAGAACGGTTTGTGTGTTTCTTAATTCCCTGACTTTGGGAACAGCAAGACCATATTATTGTGTTCACTTAGGAATGACTTCCTTAAACATTTTAATTACATCAAAATAACCGAAGTTGAAATCCCTAAATATTCACTTCAGCTTAATTGCAAAGTTTTATGTTTTAGATATAAGTTGTGTATACATTCTGAACTCCTGCATAATGTTTGAAATTGCTGCTAGAAATATATATTTTATGTGAATTAGCAACAAATATTTACCTTCTTATTTTCTTTATCAGTAGTGGGGTTATTTGTAATTTTGTATTTCTGAAGATCTATTATTTCCTTCATTTCATAATTATCACCTCTCCGTTTGCAAACAATTACAGCTAGATCAAACAAGAAGATATGCCTATGAAAATACAATATAAATATAGTTAAAAACACTCCATAAAGCCAACACCCAAAGTCTTATTTTACACACCTTTGCCTGTGGCACTTCGAATTTTGAAGGTGAACAACTAAACTACTAAATAACAAAATAAAAGCCACTGAAAGTACTTTTGCTAGAGACTTACTACTTGCAAGGGTGATCTTAGATGATAATGTTAATAGCTAACTTCCCATTAATCACTTTGCAGAGTCACTTGGTAAATGGTGGATAGGCTCTGGTGAATGCACAGTGAAATGGAAAGTACTCTCAAGAATCATTGAGCTGACCTCAAATCTAAGAAGAGAGTTACTTTACAGTAACTGTTTTGATAGCAAACACCAGAAGTCATGCCATCACCTGTCCTGCCTCGCACGTTTGTCTAACGTAGTTATCCTTATTTCTCCGTCACCTTGAGGTCTTCCATACTGTAAGAGGGAATGGTTCTGAAACAGAAGTAACATGTATGATTCAATATAGCAAAAGTGTCAAGATGAGAACACATTCAAATGTTAGACTACTCACTCTTTTTACCCCCAAAAAGGATTTTTCAGGCCTGAAAATACCATATTGTCCTCCCTATCATCTAAACTAAATACAATAAAGAATCAGTCCATTCCATTTTTGTCTTCAAATGGGAAAGTTCTTCCCATTGAAAAAAACACCTGAGTCACTGTACAAATACAAACCTTTAACTTTACAAATATATTTAACTATACAGACCCCCAAAAGAGCAGAGTTTTCCGTGCTTAAATATTTATGTCATTCTAGACCATGCAAAGCATACTTACACTTAAAGATCACCAAGAGTACTATAATCTCATATGAAATGGGGAAAAATAGATCAATGTATTTGATCAAAAGTGATTTAAAAACCATATAGATGAAAAGATCACATACCAAATTCTCTATTGATAGTTGAAACTGACTAATTTCACGGAGTGTTTCATTATCTCTCTTCACTTCATTTACATATTGAGCCAAGTCCTAGAGCATCAACAGAAAAAGGGAGAAAAACAACTTTTCCATAACAAATTACTTTAACACATTATTTTGGCAAATTTATTTGTAATTTTGTCTTTGACTTATCTGTATATTTAGTTATTTAAAAAATTATCTTTAATGTTTGAAGAATTAACAATCTGTATGCCTAAATAAAGAAGGGAAAAAGCCTCTGCATATCTTCAATCATATGCACAACTTTCATCATCGTATCTATTGAAACACAGATTTAGTAGCAAGAAAGAGGGAAGCACATAATAAATTGTTAAAAAGGGCTCATTTTTTCTGAATTTCATGAATGTCTTATTTTCAAGATTAAAGACAGAAATGTAATTTATGCAGCACACTTATGGTCCAGAAAAGCAGTCAACAACATCCAATATCTGAGAACAGGTCAGAAGGTAAATAGAGCATATAGTAGAAAACATACGTAAGGCAGCTCAAAAGGAGCATGTGAGGTGTAAACGTATCATAAGGCTGGGTGCTTATTAGGAGAGAAGCTACTACCCCAGTAGTAAGATCTTGCTCTTTCTGTTGCACAGCAGAGAGAAGCCATTATGCAGCAGATTTTAAAGGGGTCCTTTAATGGGATACACTACCTGAAGTCACAGGTTGAGATCATTATTGTCCCCTTTACCCGAACACATACTGCACACGTTTCACTAGAGCTTCTAAAATGCTCTGAACACGCTTGAGTAATAGTGACAATTTGCTGGAGCTTCTCTGTTTATGGCTAGAGATGAGTGAGCAGGAGTGGTAATTGGTAAGGTCAGGGATGCTGAGAGCAGCAGTTGGAAAAGGCATTCTGATCTTCACAACTTGCTTTTACAGTATCCCTTCAATATGGTCACAAATTTGGAGGGTGGGAGAAAGATAAATCTTCTTCCTAAGACATTTTTAATCAGAATCTAAGAATAGCTGCAATCATTATGCTAGCTTCCCAAATGAATCTGTGCAGGATACATTCACATCAGACTTAAGAGAGTTAGTGTAGAAATTAAATAACCTCTTTTCTTGCTGCTAAAAGAAATCTGACAGCATAATCCTTCCTAGAATTTTCTTTCTTGGGGGGCAGTACCACTTTGCTGGCAGTTTTTCCAAAGGCATCTGATTTTCGAGCAGACACACCAGGGTTTTTAGAAGCAGCCTGTGATGCTGCACAGTCACCTCTACCACACTACCAGTGACTATCGTCAGAAGACACAGTAAATCAGGAGGGAAACAACGCTGCGACCTTGAGGAGAGATGCTTATACCTGGATTGGGTTGTTGGGGTTGGGTTTTTTTTGAGGGGTAGAGGGTGTGGTGGTTTGCGGGGGGGGTTTAATTGGCTGGTTATGTCTTCCCAGCCAGTACATACCTGCCACAGTCACTCTGGCAAGAGATTTCTTAATTGGCCTTTTATTTTGAGTCCAAAAGCCACCACAAAGAATGAAGCAAGATAGCAAACAGGAAAGAAAAAGGGAGGCCGTGGGGAATATAAACCAGGGTTATTTTCCTAGCCAGTTAGCAGCAGCCAGGATGCATGGCTTGTCTCTAGATCAAAGTAACACCGTGCCATCCCATTGCAGGCATCTCTCCGTGTGAGATTACCACGGTGGTGCTCTCTGCATTCACTGTACAAAACCAGAGGACAAAAAAGGGGAGCCAAAAATCTCATTCGTGAACTGTATTTCAGGCATTCAAGGCAGACAGTCACATAATATGAGACAGCTGTGTGACCCAAAACTAAGTTAGTCTGACTTCAGCATCTTCTGTGGACTATAAGATTACAATGGGAGATATGACCTATGCCATGTTTGTTTCTTTCCCCCTTTCCCCACAAAGAATAGAAAAAAAAATTTCACAATTCCAGCACATGAATGTCACATTTCATGCTGTGAAGTCAACTGAAGCAGAACTATACTTCATTTCTGAAGCTGCGCAGAGGAACACATAATGTATTACCTGATACATAAGGCAGTACAGCTATTCTGTAAAACATTTGTTTGTAGTACTTGCAGGTGAATGTTCAGTGACAGATACTCTACCTCCAGAAAGACACTACTGCTTTCAAATGTAAAGCCACAGAGATCATATTAAGATGACAGAAAAAGTCTTGTAAAGAAAGATAACTGTCTTCATCTCATTGGGAAACTACTGATCTTGATTAGAATTGACTTACAGTGGTAGAAATATTCCTAAATTTTGGAAGCCAGACCAACATTATTGGAACACCTTTTTCATCTCATTGTACGACAGTAAAAATGATGTAGATGTAAACTGAAATAAGGAAGTTCCATTTCATAAACCCTCCACTTCAGAAAAGTGAACTTGTTTCCCAGACTTGAGCAAAGCCTTCAACTGTATACCTGCCCTGACATACTCACAAAGCTCACAGTGAGCTGCGAAAACATGTTTGACCTGCTGTGAAGAACATTATCTCCTCCAGGAAATATAGTTCTGAGCTACCATTTTAACCGCCAAAGACAGAAATACTTCATTGCCATGAATACTTACCTTCATCGCATCAAGTGCCAGTTTTAGATTTGCCTTCTCCATGGGATCAGTAGTGTGCTTTACCAGCTCCTGTGGACAGAGTGGTTAAAACCTTTCACCTGCTATCTGTCAGTTTATAAATTGAAGTTGTCATTGCTCATCCCCAACCACTCTCTACCACCCAAAAAAAAAAAAAAAAAGCTGCCAAAACCAGAAAACACAAGCCAAGAATTCACATTTTCATCCCCATAGCGACCAGCCTATAACTGAGTGGGGACTACTGCAAACAGATAATTGGCAAGTGCTTAAGAATGATTGCTGTATATCCTCAACACTGACTTTAGCTTATAATGAACCATCATTAGAAACTAATTTGGTCTGTCTAGCACTTAAAACTTGCCAATCAGATCATTACTGTATGTGCATGCTGAAAGCACAGGTAAACACTTGAGTTCATTTGCACATTACTACGCAGTGTATCATCCCATTCCAAAGCATGTACTTGTCTGCAGAGAGGGATGTACGCTGGCAATAAAATCTCAGCTAAAAAGTGCAACTGCTTAAAAGAAGTCACTGTCTCATTACACCTAAGATAAAGCTGACTCAGAAGACACATTTAAATAAAATGTAAGTGTTTAAAGAATTTTTTTAGCCACTTTCCATACGGAAAATAAAAGGGCTATTTTGGTTTTTATGAAGTGAAAAAGTAACCTCTTGGGGAAAAATGTTATTTCTTTTTTATAATTTGAGAAGAGAATTACACATTTCAGCTAACATAATAATTTGCTGAAATCCCAGGAAATGAAGGAATAACTATTTATACTTCCTATTACAATTCTAATAATTTACTGGATTTTTTTTCTTTCAAAGTCTATAAATATTTCTTTCTTGTACAATGCATACTATAGCATCACACATTAGAGCATAGTGACATATTGTATATCATCTTTTCATAATATACAGGTTGATTATAAAATCATGACTCAGATCTCATAAGTTTTTTTAAAAAACAGTTGTACCATTCTTCTTTGTTTTTCCAATTTTTCCATTGATCAAAATATTGATGATTCATTTATAAAAATTTCAAAAAAATTAATATTAGAGAATGTATGTTGCACTGCAGAGTCAAAATTATGCTTCACATACAAGTAGTAGATCTTTTTAAAATGACATTTTACAAGCATCAGCAGGGTTGACAGTCTAATACAGTAATATATTTCTTTGCAGCTGAACTAATGAGTCTCCTGGCACAGCTATCAAATTAAATTTATAAGACTCTCCACCCTTATTACAGGACTAACTGCAAAAGCTAACGCTTTGTAGGTTATCACAAGAAGCATTTCAAAATAAATATGGCTATATTGTAATTCATGACATCAAAGAAGCATCTTAAAAGTAGGCTGTAAGTATGGTCCAGCTTCCTCTTTTGGGGTGTAATGGTTTACATTTCAAAGTACCGTGATTATAATTTGGTACTACTGACCATTTTAAACATACCAAGAACGAAGGTTTGGATACTGAAGAAACAATTGTGGTTTATTCTTTTTTTCCCCCAGACATGTTTCAGCTCTGAGGAACGATCTCTGTAAGAAAACCCGCATTTGACTGGATTTTATTTCATAATAAATCAGCCTCAAATCTATGGAAATGTCAATCACCTCCCTTTGATAAAGACCTTTAGCTTTCATTCTTACAATCCACTGATGATAAACAATCACAGTTTTGCTCTCAGCCCCTTAAATTTCAAAAATAAAATACCTGGAGCAGTAGGTGGTATTTTAGCACTCTCTGCATTGGAACCACTAAAAGATCCCGCAATGTAAATTTTCCGTTATTGGTCCTCTTGGAACATTCCTAGTTCAAAGCAGAAGAAGGAATAAGACAAGAATTATCAAATAAAAATATTCAAGTAATATATATGAAAATTCAATGCTATATGGGTCAAACAACTTAAGCTTGAGATAAAGAATATCAACAAAATGATGGAAAACAGTTGATATGGCAATAATAGCTAAGCAAAGTAAGACTGGGTCTAGACACTTGAGATATTCCATCAGCATAAGAAAGAGTAGAATAAACATCAAAGACAACAGAAATTAGGCATTCCATTCAACTAAAAAAAAAAAAAAGACACTGCCTATAAGCACAAAGGCAGTAAATATTACAGCTATCTTCAAAAAAAAAGGAAAAGATGATCTTGGAAACTACAGGCTAGTCAGTCTCACTTCAGCCCCTGCAAAAATTATGGAGCAAGTCCTCTTGGAAGCAATTTCTAGGCACATGAAGAAGGTGACTGGGAGTACCCACCATGGATTTACCGTAAATCAGTGCTAGCAGAGCATATTCACAGGAACACATTGTTTTATATATATCCACGTATGTATCTATACACATTGAAAAATACTGATACCTCTAACTTCATTTTAACATCTTCTTTTGTCTTAGAGATGTTGTCTAAGCATGATATCGCTATCTCCACTTGACTGCAGTACTGTCCATAAATAAGCAATCTAAATCAAAGCAAGAAATAAAGAATAAAAGGAACATTTGGTTATTTAATAACAATCCTTGATCATTTCTCACAAGGAAGAATATTCCGGAGAATACAATTTTGAGCTACCTTCAAAATGCTGCAAAATCATTGCAGTTTCCTTTAATATTCATATGTATCCGTTCTGATAAATACAGGACTCAGTAAAAAGCAGCGTAACTGCTGTTTAACAGAACAGCCTGAAGTATTTACAACACTGTAGATTTCCAAGGTTGTAATGAATAAATTCTGTAATGCAGGCTTAACAGGATTAGTTACAGCTATCCTTTAACTTGTGGGTTACCTATACGGATCCATCTCCAACAGTTTCTACCATGTTTTATCCTGTGAGTTGTCAGATCAAAGTAACAGTGTATGAAAACTGAAGAAACTTTCAATAGCAGCAATGCTTCTTGAAGGAGCCTAGTTTTATGACAGGAATTTCTTGCCCCTGTTTGGAGTGCTTCTGTCTGCTAGTCCCACTGCAAAAAGTGCTGTTTCCATTCACCTTCTCATATATTTCTTGAGGTGATTCCTTCTGTATACCTCGAATCCCTTTTTTGGGGGTTCTCATGAGCTTTGCATTGGGGTCTCCTAAATTTCTTTTTCTCTTGCCTAATCTTTACCATTTTTTTAAGTTTTGTTTTTTTTTTCCCACAATTGATGATACTGATTTAACACTTACAACTTCGATTACTTTTAATCACTACATTGTTAAGACACTGAGTCTACCTCCATCAATTTCCTTTTTGTATAGTATAAACCTGAGGTTTCTTCTCATGTCTTTTGTTCCCCTTTTAGCACAGATCCCAGAACTACTTTTTGAAGACAAGCATTTTCCAGAACAACTTCTTGTCCCTTAATTCCCTTTTACAGCAGCAGAAATTCTAACAGCCTGGGAAATAACTATGTCCTGCTCCAACATAAAGCTGAGACAGAGGGTCTCTGAAGGCAAGACTGTTTACGGGCAGCCTAGGACACCCTCCTCCCTCAGAAAACAACTCTCCTGTCTTAACATTTTCTGGATGCTGCTACCCAGTTTCTCACAAGCCTGTTATTACTGCAACAATCCTCCTTCCCCATCACCCTCAAGCAAATCCAATTAGCTCCCACAGGTCTTTCCTGCTCCAGTCCCAGAAGGAAGTCATTTTTAACTGCAACCCAAGGGTTACTTCAAGGTAGGTCAGCACTATAGCCCACAGTACAGTTGTTTTTCAGCTAAGCACCACAGGCATACAAATACATCTATACAATCCAACAGCTGCTCAGTGCTGGCAGAAAAAAAAAAAAACCCAATCTGAAAAGACGGGTAAAAAAACCTGGCAATTAGCCTATAGGGCATGGCGTGCTGCCACAGCTACCCTGTTATCAGCCTGGCTGTTTTTCACAGCTTGAAGGTAGAGTGTGTTTGCTTTACTGTCACACCTTTCACTGCAGGGTAGGGTAAGACCCTAGTCTCTTCTCTCCTCTCTTTTGCACCTGCTTTCGCTTCTTTCAAGTTATGACCTCTTCTCTTTTCTTTAACTTGAAATAGCCTTAATAAATATTCTTGCCTTATTTTGCCCTTTCTTGCCCTTTTATAACATTTTATCTGTTTCAACAGTACAGGCACATGCTATAAAATACCTGGGATTATTTGCATGAAAGAAATGCAGTGCAAAATAAGCTACTTAAGTTTCATTCAAAATATAGATGTTACCTGCCTATGGAACAATATTGCTGAAACTGGGGGTAAGAGGATGGAGGGCTCATATAGCAATAGGGTACATTTTGACTTCCAGGCTCAAAACACCAATAACTTAATAAATATACTGACACGAAATTCAGAAATACTCAAAAAAAATATGGTAAAATACTTCAGCAAATTGAGCATAGGTTATTACAATTAGTAAGAGTGCATAAATCTTACCTTTCCTTGTAGTTAATAAAAATTTGATATAGGTTCTGATCATTTTTGTTAACAATGGAATCATTGATGTCCTGCGTTAGATTCCTGTGGATTTTCACCAAATCCTTAAAAATAGCAATGAGGGAAAGGTTTTTTAAAAAGAATGACTTAAAGCTTTGAATATGAAAATCAATTATTGCATGTTAGATCCATTAATTTCAATAAATTGGAAAACAGATCATTTGAGAGGAGAACCTAATTTCAAGGTTTGCCACATCTTCTGTATAGTGCAACAAGAAAAACTAAACTCCAAGAACTACCTATTAGAGACTAATTTATTCTCGCTTGGAACATGCACTGTTAATTCATCTTCATTTTATAATGATAATTTTAAAATTAAGCAAGTCAAGTAAATGCTTTAGTGACAAGATAAAGTAATGATTCATGTCCCTGAGCTGTGAAAAATTAGTTTTGTACATTACATTGGTCAATTAGTGATGTTCTAGTGCTAAGTTAACTGCAATCATAATGAGCTTCCCAATACAGCAGGCTACTAATGGCTGAGAGAAAGGCAAGAATACTGCAGAAGGATTTGCTCCCTGAGTATAGTAGCAACTCACCTTACTTATTCACTATTACACAAAAAACTGTAAGCAACTATAGATTACATCAGCCTTAATACTGTGTGGATACTGTCAGAGAATTCACAAGAAATTAAATCAAAACAGGTTAAAAAGTTTTGAAATTAAGATAACTGACTGTAAGCAGCGTACAGACCACTGCAATGAAAAATAGACGACTAAAAAAAGCCACTGAAGATGGTTTAATGCAGTAAATGATACACTAGAAAAATAACATGCAATATTGAGTTGTGAACTAAATTAAAACATTTCACTTCATATTGATAAAAACTAAGAGTATACACAAGGTCAATCATAACATCACAGGTGAGGAAGCAAAAACTTAAAATCAGATCAAATTCAGTTGCTAGCAATTGTATGACCATATCCTCAGAATCTTAAATTGCAGCAAAGACGTTATTATAGAAATGCTTCCCAATTAATACATTACAGGAGCACATTTTCTCAGGAGTGCACAGAGACTCAACTAAGCAACACCCCTGAAAAACAGCTTACTGTTAGGGGGAAAAAATGTCTTCTTGAGCATCTATCCCCAATTCAAAGTCATGTTTTAAATTAAACTGATGTTAACATCATTAGAAATTAATGAAAGTGCCAACAACTCACTATCTGTTACACATACTTCCATCTCTCTCTCCCTCTGCATGCCCAGCCTGGTTTTGGCTGGGATAGAGTTAGTTTTCTTCCTAGTAGCTGGTATAGTGCTGTGTTTTGGATCTAGGATGAGAATCATGTTGATAACACGCTGATGTTTTAGCTGTTGCTGAGCAGTGTTTACAATTAAGTCAAGGACTTTCTAGCTTCTCCTACGGCCCTGCCAGGGAGAAGGCTGGGGGTGCACAAGCAGCTGGGAGGGGACACAGCAGGGACAGCTGACCTCAAGTGGCCAAAGGGATATTCCATACCATATGACATCATGATGAACAAAAAAAAAAAAAAAACA